CTGCTTTGAGCGTATTGTAAATCCATTACCTTGTCTATTCTCTACACATTCCCTCTATTGCCCTTCTGGCCTCCCTGGGAGAGGAATTCCTCCTCTGCCTCCCTCTTGGGTTATACATATGAATTCATTGAATGAATAATTGAGTTTCTATCTGATTGCACCAAATGTTGTTTTCCCCTAAATAATTGACCGTCATCCTACTCGCCTAACTGCTACTATTTCCCTCCCTCTCCTGCTGCAGGATGTCTTTGAGAGAGGGATGGAGCTCCATGCTAAAGTCACGCTGTTTGGAGAGGGCTGTCATGGCCACTTGGCCAAGCAGCTTTACAAGCAATTCAACCTGCGGGAGAACTGCGAACCGCAGACGTACGCCATCGGCCTCAAGGAGGTAGGTGGCATTCGGCTGCTCCTCATCACTCTGTGGCGTGGATTGGATTGCCTCTTTTGACCGCTAGAACCGGTCATTAGCTCGATTGGCGGCGAGTTCTTTTACAGCACGAACACGTTCCGTGTGAGTCGGAAAGTTTTAAGTGTGTGTTTTTTTTTTTAGGTGTGGGCGATTGATGAGAAGAAGTGGCGGCCGGGCAGGACGGAGCATTCGGTGGGCTGGCCTCTGAACCGACACACCTATGGAGGATCCTTCCTGTATCACCTGAACGAGGGAGAGCCGCTGGTGGCCTTGGGCTTCGTGGTGAGTGGCTCAACATAAATTCTGTTAACGATGCAACCAGAGAAAACAACTGGTTGTCATTCAGAATCCGCTCCCAGATAAATATTCATTAGGTTGGCAGTCGGCACTGTGACTATATTTTATTAATCCTGCGGAGCATAAATAACTCGACTCGATATTTCTCTGTGAAAAAAATGTATTGCAGATTGTATGTCTGTGTGCTTACATCAAACATGTTATGTTGACACGACATTCAGATGTAGTTTGTGGACAAGCATAAAAAGGCATCTCATTTATGTAAATGCAGACGCTCCGCTGTCAGCGATTACAGCTTCATAACTTTGTATTCATATCTCTGCCGCTCTGCACACATGCACCGGTCGCTCCCTCCTTCTTCTGCACAGTCTCTTCATCTGTCACACTGGTTTCGCTCAAAGACCTTTGTACTGGTACATAGTGCGCAGACCCGTCTGCCAGGTGCTGCCACTATTGCCATATTTGGAATATTTGCATTAAAAAGAACACATTTAATAATAATAATAATAAATCTCAGCTGAGCTCTTCGGCATTGCCTTACGCAGTTTGTGTGTTTTTAACAACAGTGAATAATAGTTCTAATAATATAATAACAGAGTATTTGAGTTCAGCCGTAATTTGAGCCCCGACAGCTTAAAGCTTGTTCTAGGTCGATGCCTCAAACGCAACACAGAACTTTAGAACACACCCAAACACCCTCCCTCTGTGTTTAGCCTTTGATTAAGCCGGCGTTGCTTTTCCCGCTGCAGGTGGGTCTGGACTACAGCAACCCTTACCTGAGCCCCTTCAGGGAGTTCCAGCGCTGGAAGCATCATCCCTTCGTGGCAGCCACGCTGGAGGGAGGCACCAGGATCGCATACGGAGCCCGAGCGCTGAACGAGGGAGGATTCCAGGTATGTGTCTCCACCGCAGGGATTTCAGATTAGATTACACTTATGAGTACATTACAGAAAATGATCTGCCCTGAATTAGCAGCCAATTAATATGGCTGCTCGTTAAACCTTTTCATACTTTACCCGGTGACACGTAATTATGGGAAACGGCACGTCCAGTAAACTATGGATACACTGATCTGGTCATATTTGCTGAATGCAGCAAAGTAAAACAAACAAACGTGCCGCTCTCCACCTTCCTCGGCAGTCCATCCCGAAGCTGACGTTCCCCGGGGGGCTGCTGATAGGCTGCAGCCCCGGTTTCATGAACGTCCCAAAGATCAAAGGCACCCACACCGCCATGAAGAGCGGCATGCTGGCTGCAGAGGCCGTCTTCCCCAAGATCACAGCCGAGAGCCTGGATTCAGAGACGACAGGTAGAGAGTGAAACAACCGGCCCGCTCAGGGGCCCCAGTCGCCGCTTGTGTTTCCCTGCAGGAGCTCCCATTGGGCTCCGAGCTACTAAAGGCTGCTCAAATTGAGAAACCTTGGACAAAATTATCCCACGGGGGGGAAGAAATGATATTAGCTCTGAAGTCACGGAAGGGGAACGGGTTGAATGTCAGGCAGCAACATTTATCAGCCTTAAAGGTTAGTTCACTTTTTAATTTGAGGTTTCTAAGCAGCCCGAGATGTTGAAGATGTCAAAATGATGAATGAATTTCTGTAGCACAGAGGTGACTTATTCACTTCTTCATTTCTATGAAGGCATTATTTTATTTTGTCAATTCTCTGTAGCACAAAGACGAAACCAAGACTTTTAATGTAGAAATTGTTGGTGTTTTTTTTGTGCCACAGTTTGAAGCGATCTGCCGCTGAAACTGTTGCCAGCGCTCACATTTTTTGAGATGGATGTAATTTAATGCGTTTTACCACAAACTGCCCTCTGGTTGATAAGGAAAGTCTGCTTGCCTGAGAAATGTTTTTAAAAAGAATGTTTCTTCCAATGGAAAATGATGAAATACAGTCATTCTAAATGTTTTCAGAGAAAGAATTTTTCAATTCTTTGCTGCTTTAAACGTGCAGAAAAGTAAACGCGATAACAGCAGAGCAGAAATGAAATTACCCTCCTTCTATTTATTTAAATTTTTCCAAATCCTCCCAGGCCTCCACGCACCCGAGTACGCCGAGACTTTGAAGAATTCGTGGGTGTGGAAAGAGCTTCATGCCGTAAGAAACATCCGGCCGTCCTTCCACAACTACTTTGGCCTGTACGGGGGCATGGCCTACACCGGCGTCTTCTACTGGATCTTCAGAGGGAAAGAGCCGTGGACACTCAAACACTGCGGTGAGGACCATTGTGCGGCCTGGTCTTCACCCCAGCAGGTCTTTCATCATCATTTAGCAGATCAGTAGGAACAAAGGGAGATGGAGACGGCGAGTAGCGACGGCCTAACGTCATATTGTTGACCTGCGAGACTGAACGCGATTGTAGTTTAAAAATAATATGCATGCTGTTGGGACCTTTACAATCGCGTAAGAAAAACCCACCATGGTCACTGAAATAACTTAAAAACTGACAAATAACGGAAGGGTAACCACCATTTCTCCAGGTGTATGTGTACACATACTTGTTGACTTGGTTTCATTCCCTCGGCTTAGGAGCCTGTTGCACACACCTCGTTCTCCTCACCTGGAGCTTCACTAAATGAATCTCCTACGTTTCTGCTCCCCCATGTGTTCGGCGTCAGAACTGCACGTTTATCTTCACTGCGTTTTAGATGAGGGTGAAAAACTCAGGAAACTACATAATGGCTCAAACACGTTGATGATGACGACGACGGGACGGGCGAGGAAGGAACCAACGTCAAACATCGACTGAAATGATCAATATAATCTGCTGAAAATGTCAAAAAGTCTAGAGTTCACGTTACCTCAGCGGGGAAAGAGGACATTTCGTAACCGACTGCTCCGTCTGTGTCAGGCCTGGACGCCAACCAGCTGAAGCCGGCCAAAGACTGCACGCCCATTGAATACCCGAAGCCCGACGGCAAGCTGAGCTTTGACCTGCTGTCCTCCGTGGCCCTGAGCGGCACCAACCACGAGGGGGACCAGCCGCCCCACCTGACCCTAAAGGACGACAGCGTGCCCGTCAGTAGGAACCTTTCTATCTATGACGGACCGGAGCAGCGCTTCTGCCCCGCAGGTAACCGCTGTGATATCACCACACGTCCCTGATCTCCTATTGGATAACGGTCCTTTCATTCTCCACGACTAATATAGCTCACTGTTAAGCCTGTGTTTTGGTATGAAAAAGCACAACGCCTATCGTTTTAATGTGAATTAACTCCACAAATTAAAACTAATTCCCAATTTAATAACTGGTGAGTGCAAACGTATTCTGAGCAAATTAATCAACAATGAAAGATATCATTAGTTGCTTCCCTAAATGTAATTTATCCCTGGATAGAAATGACCTTTCATAGTTTGGTCTCTGCAGGCTGTGATGGAATTATGGGGCTTTATTTAACAGAACTTCTCAGATGAAATTCATTCATCAGCAGCTTGATTTGGAGATGATAAACCAAAGAAATGCCACAGGTCACCAACAAGTCAACACTTCAGCTTTCAGGCTCAGTGCCAATGAGACTCTTTAAACCTTTTTTTAGTCTTGAGTGTTCATTGTTTGTGCAGGTTCTCCAGGTGAAGTGTCATTTCAGCAGCTGTCCTGGTAACTCGGAACCGGTTCTTCATCAGAGTCTCACGCGTGACTTGTTCCGTTCCTGATAGTTTCCCCTCTTGATGCTCATTGGTCATCCTGGTTTTCTCCCAGGTGTGTACGAGTACGTCCCCCTGGAAACCGGAGAAGGGATGCGACTGCAGATAAACGCGCAGAACTGTGTCCACTGTAAGACCTGCGACATCAAGGACCCGAGCCAGAACATCAACTGGGTGGTGCCTGAAGGCGGAGGCGGGCCGGCCTATAATGGAATGTGAACATCTTTGTTTTTTTTAATCTTTTGTGTTTAGGAAGACGTTATTGTGCATTCAAAGTTGCAAATGTGCCTGAGTATGGAACAAAAAATAGCAATGGTTTCTCCAAAAAGTGTGATTTTAGAAATTGGTGTGATTTAGCATTGAAATATATTCGATTCATACAGTGAAATGAAACTGTAGCATAACGCAGGACCCTAAATAACTGAAGCAGTTATTAAATCACTGCTGTAAAATCAACACTATGGGCATTTGAAGTAGTTTAAAAGATGAAATGGCTCTTTATTTGCACTTGATCATCTGCAATAGTTAATATATTTCCTTCAACACGTTTCTTGTAAAAGAACAAATTGAATTCATATCAATTTCACCCAAAGTATTGTACATAGAACCATTAGATGATAACATCACAGTAATGAATAAAGAACTTGAAGGTTATCTTTTGTTTTATTGACTTCTGTAACAAAATAAAAAGACACGTTGCTGAGGGTATCAAATGAAAACAGGCACAGCTTTGCTCAACTACTCGTGAGGCCCAGTGACGTCAGCCATGCATCACACCAACGCTCGACATATTCATTACAGTGGAGGCGCTTGTCACAATAAGACAGGTCAAAGCTTACAACAGTTATTCCCTTAACACAACAAACAGTGAGGAAAACATGAAACGCCTCAACGTGTCACCTGCTTACGGCCTCGTCGTCAAGGAGCAGCTTCCCACGCAGAGATGACTTCAAACATCGGGAAACGTTACGAGAATACGTCGCGTGCTCACGCAAACATTTTGGCATAGATTTTCTTCTCCTTCTCCTTCTCTTCCTGAATCTTGAGCTGAACCCTCTTCAGCTCGTTGATGATAGCTGTTGAAAGAAGAAAACAGGTGGACTGATGAACGGGGTGCAGTGTGTCCACGTTTCAAACGTTCATCGGTTACACGTGATGCAGAGGAGAGCTCCAGATGTGCAGCACAAGAAAAAGTGAGGAGGGATCGGCAAACCATTACAGGGTTCTTGCACCATTTCAAAAGTCAAATTTAATGCTTTTTAAGACCTCACCAAATATAATTTAAGAGCCAAAAATGTCACAATTTCTTTGGAATACGCAATTTATTGCCTCCTACAATGGAAATCAAAACTTTTTTTCAAATTAGGAGACAGTATAATAACTGAATTTGGGGAACATGGCAGCAAAGACGCCACGTATGTCATCATTAGATTTAAATGAATTGTGCCTCGTCACAGTATGGAGAACCCACCGTACCTCTGCCTTTTGGGTGTCTGGCGTTGAAATGAAACCTGTTACAGCCGACTGAGAGGTGGCGTGTGAACTTGTTAGGTCGCGCTGCAAACAATGCAGGGATTAACCTGGCCCCGCTATGGCTAGCTGCTGCAACGTACCGCTGGTGCTTTCCTCCTTTCATGTGCGACTCGACGGCTTTGAGCCCCGTGGTCCCTAATGAAAAGGTCTTTTTGCAGCTTAAACATTCTAAATGGAAGAAGTCATCAGTTTGCATCCTGAGAGGTCTAATCGAGCTGATTACTTTGTTAGCATGCTGCTTACAAAGAACACGTGGACTCATTTCCCCCAATAAAGTTCCATTAGGAGGGACAAGAGGACGTCTCTCCTGCCGCCAGGGATCTTTTTCCCCTTAATGAGCTTGCATACATAATACATGGGAATATAATATGCACGCAATGTTAAATAGAAGGAGGGGAGGGGGGGGGGGTATCTGCAGTATTCTTGATAACGGTGACGGCCGGACAAATAAAACGTGTGATCAAGACGAGTCTCACCTTTGTCTTCTGGAGCGATTCCCTGAGCTTTCTTCAGATCAACCTGAAGGGTGCAGAGAAGCATTCGGTGAGTAACGTGGAGCTCAGACTGCTCCGAATACCAAACATCTCGAAGGTGAACGCGTCTGGACATAAATAGAACGGTCTGCTGGACTTGGTAATAATACATGTGGGATTTAAAGATGGAGGTGTTTGTGTGGATGCTACCATGGCGTTGCCGTTTTCCTTTAAGCCCTGCCAGGCCTGAGCCCTCCGGAAAAGGGCCTTAGTGTTGGCTGGGTTCAGCTCGAGAACCTGTAAACACGACAGAAAAACACATCAGGAATTGTTGCAGGGGCACGCTGGCGCCGCCCCCCCCCCCCCACCAACAAAGGTACCTCATTGCAGCTGTCAACGGCGTCCTGGCACAGCTGCAGCTTCAGGTTACATGCGGCCGTGTTGAGGAAGCAGCTAAAGGCGGTGGGCACCAGCTTCTGCTGGGCCTCCTCCTCCAGCAGGTCCCCACTCACCTCCAGGTACCTGCACAGGTAAACAGAAGCAGAGACATGGCTCATCGTTGGTGACAGACTGGGAGCAGTTGGACGCCTTCGCTTCTTAAAGTCTCATTTTTGTAAAACACACACAAAACCTGAGGGCTTTGGTATATTTGCCGACTGCAGCTTTCCATTCTTGGCCCCTAAACAGATTGTTTCCAATGTTCTTCACATCCTCGGCGACAGCCAGAACCTTGTCAACCTGGAAGCCACGAGCAGAAAACAGGATCAGACCGGTCGTAAACAAAGCGTTCAATCCCTCATGTCCAACACTAAAAGGGCTGCAGCCCAGCATCCCTCATGGTTCATCATCCTCCCTCATGGCCCCCCCCAGTCTACTGGTTTGGAAACTGCAACACGTCCTGCATCCCTGTATCCATCTTCTCATTTTCCAAAAATGCCAGAGGTATTTACAACGAGCCCGCAGAGCTGCCCGATGCATTCTGCTCAAGTTCCTTCAAGCTCAAAGAGCTCACCAATACTTACATCTTTTAAGTCGAGGTCAGAGTCCTCGGGGAAGTCTGGGTGGACGTCTCCGGTTCCATCATTCGGCCCGTAGCCCAAGCCGTCCTCCTCTGTGTAGCTCCCACAGTCCGCTATCACGCAGGGCTGCAAACAAAAGACATTAGAAGATATTTAGACAGAATTAATGTTCATGTGAATGCGGAGTGTCATCGATCTAAAGTGGTTGTGAAGGTCAAAAATAATGATCCTCCTTTTGTGCCAAGTGTCCTACTGGTTTTGAATATACTATGGAAGCAAAGAAATAAAAAACAAAACAGACACCAACACCTGGAAGTAACGCCATAGTGGAAAAACACGTTTCATTACGGGTAAATGTTTTGTGTCTCATTTAACACATTTACCTTTACAGGAGCGTCCTCATTGGTTTCAAGGGACTCCAGCATTTTAATGACTCCGATCCCATTCAGCACTTGGCCAAAGACCACATGCTTGCCATCCAAGTGCGGGGTGGGGACGGTAGTGAGGAAGAACTGCGAGCCGTTGGTGTCCGGCCCGGCGTTGGCCATGCTCAGCAGACCCGTTTTGTCGTGCTGCACAAAGAAGGAAATCAGAATTGGACACAACGCGGCACTGCTGACACACAGAAACAGGAAACAATTGTAGCGACAGGGATGTTTGATTGTTTCTCTGTTATTCAGAAGCAAGAGGGATCCGTCCCCTGGTCCCCTTTAGATAGCGACAGTGACGGAGAAACCAGGCATAGTGACCTTTGAGTGTTGGACCGACGTATCTAAAGAGTTTACCTTGTAGTGGAAGTTTTCATCCTCGAACTTCTCCCCATAGATGCTCTCACCCCCGGTGCCATTGTGGTTGGAGAAGTCCCCTCCTTGGATCATGAACTTCTTGATGACTGACCAAAAAAAAACCCACAGTGGGACAAATTACAGATAAACCAGACTGAAAAACAAAAAGTTAATAGACCACTGAGCCTGTTAAATGATGTTAGTTACTACAGATTGTATGAATGATAATAATTACTAAATATATTTTAATATATTCAGCATACACCTGCAGGTTAAAGCATCTATTTTGATCATTTCTTTCACACTCAGCCTCTTTCAAATTTGGAGAGACGCCGAGTGTGAAAAGTGGTCAGTGGTCGGATCCTTTTTACATGACGGCACAAGACGATTTCAGTTGGGTATTTAGCGGCATGCACCCTCCTCCTCCTCATGCATTCCATGTAACGGTAAATGAGTATCTTCATGAACACGTGTTTGCTGTCCACTGGAGGAACTGACCACCCAACCTACCACCGACCACTTTTCGCACTCGGCGCTGCTGAAAATTTGGCCATGTATGCAATTTGAATTGTTATGGATGTTGGCGAATTAACACTTTAAAAGTGCTTTTTTTTTTTTCAAGACATCAGCAGGTAAATAACTCATCTACACATATGAACCCTCCGGCTGCCCTTTCAAAGTAAAAGGTCCCTGTGCAGGTGATTTACTTCTGTGGAACGGGCATCCTTTGAAGTGCAGAGGCTTCCCGGTGGATTTGCCGAGCCCTTTCTCCCCGGTGCACAGCGCCCGGAAGTTCTCCGCAGTCTTGGGGGTGATGTCGGCGAACAGCTCCAGGACTATCCGGCCGGCTGCGTGCGGAGAAAGAAGAGGGGAAAAAAGTGCAACTTTATCGTACAAGTTTAGACAAATATGCGGAAGTTGATGACAACAACATGAAACAAAACCTTGGCGCGTTACGTTAAGTTTACTAGAACAAAGACTACGTGGGGCAGAAGATTGGGGTGTTTATGAAGCGTTTTATATAGAAGGCCTCGTCGGTCTGTTGCGTTTGGGTTCATTCTTTAATGAGCCACTTGAAGTGATGCTACGCTTCTACCTAAAGCTACGATACAAAGTCACGCTAGACAACACAACCACACGTGGTTAAACGCACTTTCACGCGCTCTGGACGCCGTGGAACATTAACGCCACCGTTAGCTCACATGCGACATCAGCGGGCTACACACACACACACCGATTAATGCCCCGGCTTTGTTTTCTCCGGGGTACCGTTAACTCCTCCGGCGGCCGCCAGCGCCGCTTAATCACTTCACCGTTACGAGTCAGGGGCTGTGCTAAGCTAAAGGGGCTAGCGTCAACGGTCAACGGTTAAACAAAAACCGACATTAAAATAGAAATGTGCTGACCTTTTTCTCCATCAATGTCTACGTCGAGGAAGACGCGAGGGTTTGCGGGGTTTGAAGGCTTTTCGGACGGTACTGGGTGAGACATTTTAAGGACAGGGCGATTTTAGACACTTGTTTCGGCTAACCAGCTAATCCCGGCCGGTGTAACGTTACTACTGGAGCGGGTTGAGCGAAGGGTGGATCACTTCCGGTGGAACCCTTTCAAAATAAATCGTCCTTTGGTGGAGAATTCTTTGGTGTTAAAACAAAACGGTCTCGATAACTAGACAAGTGTTTGTTTTAGCTTGGAAACCAAGCAAGAAGAAACTCGAAATCTCGCCTGTACAGTCATTTTTTGTGTGCGATTGAGCTCTTCCACAAAGCTTCCGGTTGTGCTTAATTAAAAAAGAAAATGAGTCAAAGGGCATAAAAGTCAAAAGTTTGGATCATAAGAGTACATCCGGGTGGAAGTGCTTTAGCTATTCTAAAGATATAGATAAGAAGATAGAAAAGCAGTTTAGAATATTAATATTGCACAAAATTGAATTTTGTCCTTGACATACTCAATTCTAAAATTTGTTCTTTTCTACTTTTACATTCGGAGCGGATGACTCTTCCTCGTGGCTCAATTAAAAGAGGAGAGAAATACCTCTTGGTTTGGCCCAAATGGACGTGGCTTTGTTTTAGGAGGCTAGATCATTTAACCATTTTACCATCCTGAACTAACTGCTGGTTTTATAATGTTCTTGACTTGCACACAATGTTTTTGTCTCAACAAAATCGTATCACAGCATCCCCTCAGGCGGGTGTCAGATTGAGAGCGGCCTTATCGTAGCGAGGGTATTACCAGCAAATGGCGGTTGACCTCCAGGAATGGATGTCTGTGTGGCCCTTTCCATGGAAATTGGTGGTATCAGCTGTGGTTAAGAGTTTGTACAGTTATCGTCACTGGACAAAAGGGATTCAGCTGCAGGGACGGATCACCAAGCGTTTCTCAAGCAGGAATTAAAAGTATATCAGTGATGCTGTGAGTGGGGAGTGTGACCTCTGACACACAATATCATATTGGATATTGCTGCTATTTTTGGAGAGAACCTTCCGTTTTACGGGTCAGCCGTTTCTGATGTGTTACACTGTTTTCAGCAGATGGTGAAAACTTTGACAAAGAAACAATTCAACCCATTGTGTGCCCAGTTTACATTTTCAGATGTGGTCATTTGTGTAAAAAGGTTTACTTTATTTTTAGGCAATCCTTACAGTTTTTACATTTTTACAATTCTTCATTGAGAACATTGCCAACTGTGAATTCAGAGTAGAAGGTGTGAAAATTGACATGTTGAGAATCCTTATGCTACAAGGATTAAAAGATGTTTGATCGAACTGGACCCATCTCATTAGCAGACGGGTCATTTCTCCGCCGCGGGCAGCAGAAAGCCATCTGCTGCGTCAGCTCTGACAGTGAAACTTTGCGTTGACTCGGAGTGAGTCGTCCATCGTGTCGGGACGAAACCAAAGAGGCGGTGAAATAAATGATTGAGGCCAGATTCGAATGACATCAATTATCCCCATGTGTGCCTACAGGGTGTGTTACGTTTTACTTGTTTAATGTTCTCTCCGATATTAAATAGTCACCTTTCGACTTGTCATTTATTTAATATTGTGTCAATGTCTTTCATATCCAAAGGGTAACACCTGGTTTGAGAATTAACTAATGGGTTTGAATTTGTTCTTAAAGTGTTATTATTTAAAATAATTCTAACGGTCCCATATAATTAGTTATTGTGATAAAAAATCTTTTACAACTTTTTGGGCAATTTTATTCTCGCAGTGGTCCGATTGTCTTTCCAACAATGGATGCTCACACTGGCGACGCACGCCGGCTCTGCTCCAGGCCCTCTGTTTACCACTGAACGCGTCCCGATAAGCCGACTAAACCTCCCACTTTGCCAACAAGCCAAACCCAGAAGGGCATCGCTGCCGCGTCCCAGTATGTCGGCCTTGATCACACCGATCAGACGCCTCTTTAGGCTTCGACTGATGTCTGCGTGGAGCCGCTGGTTGTCGGTGGTTTAGCGGCTGTGTGTGCCTCTGCATGCTTCCAGGGTGTACAGCTTGTGTGAAACAGCCGGAGTCACATGTGCTGTTGTAATGCATGTGGTTCCTCTTGCATAGGAGAGATCAGTAGCTTTGTCCAAACAGGGACCGGTACCTCTGGACCTGGTCTTCCCTGCCCTCCTGCGTGGGATCTGCCGCGTTGTGCACGTTGCATTTCGACAAGTTGCTTTCGGTGTGTGCATATCATGTGGAACGTCATCAAATTCTCCTTAAAAGTAGATTTGCTTTTTGTTTTCTTCCCCGATTCCGATTCCGACAGCTGAGCCGTGTTCCCCGCTCACGTATTCACTTTGCATTATCTCCTCTTATTATTGAAATATTTGTTGGTATGTTGAAGCAAAAATGTCGTCTCTTTCAGTATTTTGGTCTGAAATGTTTCTCCAAAATGTCCCATTGGTGTTCAGACGGGTGAGTAACTTACATTAATCTTGATGCTCCCAAAACAGTCCAGTGCCCCACATGCAGGAACCTGCGTGTGTTTTCTGTCCCCACTCATTTATTTAGGCTTTTCCTGCATGCTCACCACTAGTGGGGCGACTTTTGTCAGGTCGTCATAGTAACAGCGTGACATTGGGGGGAAGAGATGGAGCGTAACAGCGAAGCAGCTGCAGGACCGCAGGTTGGACAACGCATGTTTTTTACGGGTAGGAGAAGCACCCAGAGCCTCGATTGAGCCATTCAAATGAGAGCAATTCTAGGAAGATTTAGGAGAGTCGACATAGTAACAAGGTTTATTCTTTGTAGGATAAACAGATTCAACTTCTCTCCTCGACTTAATAGTAAGGCTAAAATGCTGTGTGATGAAGATTAAAGTCCCACAGGAGCTCACGTGTACTGTAACATCTTGTTTAAGAAGTACATGGAATGTGAATGTGTGTAGATGTTAGAGTATTAAAGGTCAGTATTAATGTCTCGGGTGTGTCTCTCTTCCCACAATAAGGGAAGTGTTGCATTGTGGGCGGGGAAGCAGAAAAGCAACAATGCAGTCACTCAACACCGCGCCACCTGAGCCGTTCCCACTCATCCATTCAACACACAAACACACACTTGGGACGACTTCCAGGACCCGGCGTGTCCAACGTGAGGGTCACAGACGGCGTCCTACTGGTCGCCCTGGAACCGCTGAGTCACTCTGTCCTCCAGCGCCGTCCGCACCTCAGTCCTCTGTCAGAAAAAGGACGGCCGTTTGATTCCTCACTGAGGTGCCTTTTCTTTTATCAGACGACACGTTACATCATCCGAACTCTCGTTGTTCTGAGGAGCAAAGGTCAAAAGTTCCCCTTTCTGGTAATGAATGTGTGGAATGCTATCAATATTCATGATGTCTGGACTACACACTGATTATACAACAAAAATAACACCGATCCAAAAAGCTTTTTTTTATTATTATATCGTTAAATCTGATGCAGATTTGACAATTCCATTTATTTATTGTCAATGTGCTATGGTTTGTCCTCACGTTCATGACATTTCTGCGTATTCGCCGCCACATCCAGCCATTTCTCCGAACCTCATTTGCATAAGACGCACACGGTGCATTTGAGCTGTACCTTAATTTGCATGTTGCTGAGCAGCGTCCCGCTGTTCAGCAGCCGGTTGTACTGCCAGCCCCAGCCCACCTCCCCCACGCGGCCGTGCTTGGGCGTGGGCGGAGGGGCGTCGGGTGCAGCTTGGCACAGGTAGCTGAGGTCGCCTGTGGCCTCGGGGGACGAGGCGCCCACTCCGATGGAGCGGGGGAAATAGTTGGATCTGGGCCGGTAGTCTCCGATTCCACCCGGGCCTCGTGGGAGTTAGTGGAAATGTGAGAAAAGAAGGTAAGCAGATATCCAAATCGACCCGAGACACCGATGGAGAGAGGGGCGTTATTAAAAAGAAAGAGATACAATGGAAACTAATTCATCTAAAAAAAAAAAGAGTCCATATACACAGCATTCAGCAACAGGGGATTTTTTTAAAAACAAATTAATGATTTAATTAAGAGATTTTAAAAGATCAATGTATTTCAGAACATGCACCCTTTTAAAGATCATTACTAATGACGTAAAGGAATATGTTATTATCCTTATAAATGAAAGATTCAGCGAGTTGTATGTGAACTGTTACAGTGTTAGTACACTTCCACGTGCCCTACTGTATAAAACAAACATCATTTACTATCACAGAGGCTCCCACAGGCACACACACAGTTTGTCAATGCTCTTGTGACCACGACTTTAGTGCCACCGTGTGTCCAATTACAGTTATATTTGGACCATAAGAATAATTCTATGATGTCACACGATTGAAGTACGTGGGTCATAATAACATCCATATTCTAGAGACATCCTAGAATCTTCCTAGAACTGTTCTCAGTGCTTCTCCTACCTGTAAAAAGCATGCGTTGTCCAACCGGTGGTCCTGCAGCTGCTTCACTGCTACGCTCCATCTCTTCCCCCCAATGTCTTAGTTTTGTATTTGCGGGTTAGGTGCACCCACTGTATATCATGAGGCCCCCTTGGGTGATAACCTGAGCCCAGCTGTCTGCTCTGTCCGCGGGGTCATGGCCGGTTGTCAGGCAACCACTGGTTGTCATGGCGTCAGCGGGGCTGTCTTAGTTACATTCTGAAAACAAAGGATGCTCTATTGAAGGGCCTACATGTAACTTTATTGCAGATATTATTAATGGGAAGAGATTCATATGAAGACATAAATATAAAAATAATAATGTTATTTGAAATATGAAATATATGCTTTCTTATTTGCATGGTGAACAATCCTAACATTAGTAAATATTTTAGTGAAACCTTCAACAGCAAATCACATTTATATTGTTTAATTTGTTTGTGTGCTGTACTTATTCATTCATGTACCAGTAAAAGACTATTTTAGTTAGTAAGTTATTTATTTATCATTAGTTTTGTATTTTTGTTGTCATTAACTTTATAATGATCATATTTTTGACATTGTGGATCAAGACATCAAGAACCACCTGAAATTATGTGAAGTGGGGAACATAAATCATATTTTTGATCAAAGAAAAACATGCATATATTTTAGATCATTCTAAAGCAGCAGCCTTCGGCCTCAATGAAAGTTTGGTTCAGTCCTGGGTGAGGACTCGGCGGGCTGCTTCTCCTTCACTGACCCCAAACATCTCAACGCGGTTGGGGTCGGGGGTCCGGGTTATCAGATGCAGCCCTCCATCCCTCCCCTTCTTGGGTAAATAGCCCACACAGGCCCAAGGTGTGTTTCCTCTTCCTGGGGCGGTGCTCCTGAGAGACAGAATCCTCTGTCATCATACGGCTTTATGGTTTCTGCCCCGAAGAGACAATCACACCTCTTGACATTTTCCAGATTGTCTGACCTTCATTTGTCAAATAATGATGGAATGTTGTCTCTTTTTACGCAGGTGGGAGGTTCTGGTCATAATACAGATTGCTACAACTATCAATTTATATATGTACATTATTATTAGCATTATTATCAGATCTGATTACAGTTTATTTTATATTACGTTTAAACACTTGTGTAATCAAGATTAGTGTTCAGTTAAAATAACTGAACGTCGAGCGGCTGTAATAAGAAATAGTTTCGAGATTTGGGCCTGGGGAACTGTATTGAGAAGAACATTTTCTTTCTTTCTTTTATAGTTCATCTAAATGTGCATTACCTCGTCAGGTCACTAGATGGTCGCCAAGCATCATTGTTTAACATTGTCCTTCCCTTCCCATTCACACTTTTTTCTTTTCTTCTGGAAAATGGACTCGCCCATGGGCCGCCCCACGTGACTAAATCACCGTCAAGTCAAACACAGATAACAGCGGTTGTCAAAGAAATTGTATAAATGTCCCTTCAAAATAAGATAGCAGCGATGTGACACTAACCATGCACACTGTAAGCAACGCACGAGAAATAATGAAGACATACTCATTGGAATGAACGGAACAGATATATTGTTTTGTTACATTGTGGTGTCTGGGAGTGCAGTGCGTTGCTTTTAATGTAGTCTACTGTGGAATTAACAATCGCATGTAGCCATCCGCTATGTTTGCATATTTTCTAAGTTTATTAATACGTAGCTGGGAAAGTGCAATGTTTTTTTGGTGGGGCCCGGGGTGGGGTTACACTAAAGTATATATTTTCTTCACCTAAGACCCCTCCCTAAATATACCGTTTTCTTCCTCGTCTCTCTGTAACAACATCCTGCATGGGAGCCCGGAGGTTTTATTTTGAAACCCTCATAAGGAAGTGTAGCCGTTAACTGGGCGGCGACTTTACTCCGCCGTGTCAGTCACCATGGTGGCGTACAACAGAGCGCAGCGGCGGCGGACCGAGCCCCACTTTTCGACCCATTAAAAATGTTGATGTAATGCCTTCTCCCGGTGAGTGGATTCGGCTCTGCCTCTCGCGATGGACGCCAGGCTGCTGCTGACCGGATAACTGTTCGCCCACTTTTTTTTTTCTTTCTTTTCTTTTTCTTTTTTTTTTTTCTCCTCGTCGCTGGATCCCGCATGTAATTTATTTTTCGCGAGGAGACGAGGAATGGCTTTGAACGGCTTCCGCGAAGGGACCCTGCTTTTTTGTGTTACGGTGAGAAAATAACTCCAGACAGAGGCTCCGCAAGTTTTCTTCTCGCTGGGACCGCTGTCGGCGGCCGGTTTCATCCCCGGCGACAGAACCGCAGACGCCCCGGGGGAGACCGCTCGGCCGTCTGGCTCCGGTCGTGGCCTGGCTCCGGGCACTCCCAGCTTATCCGCTAGCTTCGGACCACAGCGGGGCGGCGGCGGCGGCGGCGGGGGCTCTTCTTTTGTTTGGCTCCACGGCGCTGGATATCTAAAGAAATAACACTTATTCAGCACCGGGAACTCGATACCCTCTGCGGACGACGTCGTCCCGAAAACAATGGCGTCTTACGTGGACAACAGCTTTCGGCAGGCTGTGATGATGAATCCGGCTGAAAGGACGCAACAGGTCAGTCGAACCTTTTTTTTTTTTTGTTGTTTTACTCTCGCAAACAGCGCGTCGGCTGTGGATTCGGGGGTCGTGCACTTTGCGGCGTTAACACGCAACGTTGCAACGGAAGTCCGCGGCTGCAACAAAGTAGCGGAGCGTTCGCAGGGTGTCCGCGTGCAGCCGCCGCCACTCGTCCCCCGTGTCGGTGGCCCCGGCTGCAGCCCGCTAAGCCCCCCCTCTATCAGCAGGGGTGATCGGGGCGACTTAACGTGACGGGAGCCGGGAGTTCGGTGCGGAATGACACCGGGGCCGCAGTTTGTGTGCGTGCCCCGCTTCCGCACGCGAGACTCGGTCAACTTGCGCGGCGCACACGCATTCACGATAGAAAAAGAACATGCGAATGATAGAAATATGTGTGCACGTCAGAGGCGCAGTCTGTGGCTAATCCTCCAACTAGCCAATAGCTTACATTAGCTTAGCAACCCCCCCCCCCACATCGTCATGTTGTCATGTTGTTCAGTTGTGCGGTGGGACACTGTGCTCCTGGGGTTGTTGTGTCTTCATCGCCTCTTGTGCCGGCTGATCCGTACCGGTACATGCAAACCGTGTGACATGCCGGGTTTAACATATGAGCGGTTAGAATTGGCAGATAAACGCTGTAAATCCTGGTTTGCCTGCACGGCTTCCACTGCAAATGGATGCAACTTGTGCCACGAGAGGCCCCCCGGCACTCAGGGGTCCCATCTGACCCCTGCAGCCCGGCGCATTTCCTTTTATATTTCTTTCCCCTTCGATGGTCTGGATTCTTGTTTGTGAATTGCTCGCCACTTATGTGGTCCGTTTAGTAGTTCTCTGTAAATTGCTTTTTAATTGTTCCTATTTCTGATTGTGACTTCAAGCCGGCGGTGCACGGCGCGCGTCGCCTGTCGCCTCGTTCTTCTGCACCAGCTGAGAGATTTAACGTCAACGTGGTTCTCTGACGAGAATACGCCAAGACCAATTACATGGGATGTGTGAGTTGGAACGTGGACGGAATAACGCACATATGCCAACATATGTGTGATTCAGTAAAAAAAAACTACTGAATGTCTGTGGTCCTTCACACTCTGGTTCGGACCCCCGCTGTGTCGCTATGCAAACATTTCACCCAGTTTGATCATTTGACCACACGGCTAGGCTTAAACAATCCTGACTTATTTCTGTCAGGATCAAAACGCATCTTGTCGCTCTGCTGAGAGAAGAAGTCCACCCGCTTCTTCTCAGTGATCTCCAGAAAAAAGCAACAGACAGTCCTTCTGACCTTAATCTCCCCGGTGTTGTGAGGCTCCGGAGCATCACCTTCCCCCGAGGGTTCTGTTCAGGTGGCCGACGGCGTTCGCCCTCATGGCGTTGGCGGGGCCCGCTCTGTCGGGATTGGCTCACCGTCTTCATCGCTCCGGACCCACCACACTGGCAATCGACCCCCGGGTGCCAGGGGAAATGACTGACCACTGGACAAGCGAGGCCGCGGCCACGCCCCTTCTCACATGTGAATTCATTCATGTTTTGAACTTTCACTATTTTCTTCTTAAACCTGCGGTTTGGCCCTCAGCACCGCGCCGATCGACATTCTTGATGTGTTCTCGGGTTTAAATGGGACTCCGACTATTGAGCCGAAACGTTCCAGCTATTGCTCCATCACGGCACACAGTCGTCTTAATCGTGCCGTGCAGATGATGGATGTTATCACGTGGACTCGATGTGCCTTTCATCTTAAAAGAGCTCCTCCTTTTAGGGGGGTCTCTTTCATCTCCGCACAGAGGAGGAAGCAGACCAAACCAGGCGAAGCACATGATCAGATTTGACAGCGAGCCGGACTCTTAATTCTTAACTCTTATTCTGAGCTTAATATTCCATCAAAGAGGACTTTTCGGGACACCTCAGACACGAACCTAACCGATGGGCAGTTGCTCGCTACTTTTTCACCACGCTCGCTCCTCATACAAAAGCAAAGCACAACCCGTGCATGTTCGTGTTTTTACACGTCACTCTGAGGGTTTCAGGGTGTTTGGACTGTTACTGCGGACCGCAAAGGCGTTGAACTGAGCCACGCGCACGAGAGCGGTGTCTTTCAATGCGGCATTCGTTTCTTTATCTCTCCATTCGACTGTTAGTCATGAAGGACCTTATGCAACCTGAGACTGCCCCACCCCAATCCGGGCGAAAACCCAGTGAATTGTCAAGTCTTACTGGAACCAAATGCTGCGAACCGTCGTCCTGCTCTTTGTTTGGCCAGGTGGCAAAGCTGAAGGCCACAAAACAACCGCCGCGCTGACCCTGCTTCTCATTCACGTAGCTGCAGGGATAAAGCCTCCCACTTTACATCGTTTCCACATATCCTGCGCCAGCACAGGGGCTCGGCGCGGGCCTGCAGAGGTTGCACCGGAGGAAACGAGAGCGAAAACAAGAGCATTTGGGGCGACCTGCAAAACAATCCAAAGAGTAACAACGGCGTCAGCCAGTTGTTACTCAAACTGTGTTTCAAAGAGCAAAGGAGTTCAGTGGTCCAGCTAAGATGGCAAATATTCAAATCCTTTGTGTGCAGATCAACCGGGGCACATTTGTTTTTTTTAAATGACTTAAAGGGAGACTGTAAAGGGAAGGTACAACTTGGCTGTACATCAGTACAATAACATTGTCGTCAAAGTATTGGCTAAACTAGCCACTTGCAGTAAATACTGTTGTGCAGTAAATGCTATAGTAACCAAACCACACGGCCACACCGATGTGTGCATCTCCGAACCTGGAGAGGAAGTAGTTGTCAAAGGTTGTAAACTGACCGATGAGCACAAAGCGGCTCCGTCTCTCAGTATCCTGTACCTTTTTTTTTTTTTTAATTTATTTATTTATTTTTATAGGAGAAGCAGGAAGCAGGAAAGCATCCGGATGCTTTTTGAAGAACAACAGAACGCCTTTCAGCCGCAAGGCTGTTTGTGTTTTTTGATTCTCGGTTGTTTTGCAGCTGCCCTCCTATTTCCACCAAGGCGTCAGAAGCAAGTATGTATTTAAAAACCACCTCCAAGTTGCTGGCACGGGAAGTAGGACAGATTCCTTAAACATGTTTACTGGATTTGTAGTAGTGTCGTTTCCCAGATTCTTAAAAAAAACCTCTGCAGCGTTGTCCCTGTAGAAGTGAAGTGATGTCACATGTTATTCCTGTGTTGAAAGGGGAGGCCAATGTGGTTGCACACGCACACGCACGCGCCGGTCACAGTGACGTCGTCCTCCCAGTTTAAATACAGGGGAGCATTTGAGGAAGAAAATAAATAAAGCAATGCAACAGACTCAGACGATTGGCTCGTTTTAAATAGTGATCTTGATCCCAGTATCGGATATTGCGATGGTAATAAAGCAAACGCATCAAAAGCGTTGGTTTGTCAGTGTTGTGTCTGTACAGGGAGCAGCTGATGAACGGCTGGAGTTCAATCGTGCGGCTCTTTACTGCAGGAAGGTGGCGTTTACGGGGGTTTCTCTGTACTCCACACGGCTGGTATCGCACAGGGAATGTTGGCGTTCCAGAAAGCGCTCGTGTCCTGAACGCACCAGGATGTTTGTGCAGCCCGCCGTACCCGACGTGTCGCTCGCTGAGCTCCAGTAAGCGAAAGGCCGATGCGGTTAAGGGCGTGTTTTTAAACGCGCTGCTGAGATTGAAGTAAGTCGAGCACAGAGGGGCGTTCAAGCGCCGAAGCTTGATTAAACACGAGCGATGCACAGAACTAAGCTTTACTTCCAGGGATCTGCCGGAGGTTTTGTGTAACCGCAGATAGAAGAAAAAATACAATTTTTAGTCTTTTCCTGTTGTTGCCGTGTTTCTGCCTCCAAGTGTTGTTTGTTCTTTCTGTTCTGTTTGTTTGATCTCTAACTTTATCGCGTCCTTGTTGCGATGTTCCTGGCGTTAAAGCTTCACTGCGTGGCCGTGTTGCATGCTGGTCTATCGACTCTGCTGAGGAACTGATGAATCTTTTGGGTATTGCATTTTGAAATCGTACTAAAAGATTATTCCGAGCGTTTCTCTCAAGTTGAGATACTGGAATTGCTTTGTTTGTCCAGGAAAAAATAGATGATAATAATAATTGAAATATAATCCTAAAAGACTCAACAAAAATTTACATTTAACGATCTGAAATTTTAGAATTTCTTTCTAAAAGTAGCCACCAGTGAAAAAAAAACCCCGCACTGCCAAAATGATTAAAGATTTTTCGGCAGGGAAGAAAGATGAAGCTTCCTCGACTGGCGCTAAGGGGGGCGGCTCTACTGAAACAAACTCTATCTGGTCTGATCGGCCAGGCTGTCGCCTCGACGGTCACGCTGTACATTTGCAGCCGCTGACACAACAGGAGTTCAGACGCGTGTGTTTCGGTTCCTTGTGTTCGCATTCCTTTCGATATTTTTAAAGGCAAAGAAAAACAACTCCTGAATTCAAGGCTCCAGAAATTCCACAGGCCTCCGCAGCAGAAAGCCGGCGACCTCGTGCTACCGAGCGACCGCAGCCTTTACATAACTTATAATAACGCAGAGAATGAGCGCTTCGTGGCGTTCGGTATTTACATGACGCTATAGAATTACTCCTCGTTAAGAGCCTCATTCCTGTGCACGTTGGAAGGAAAAGGCCGGTGGCGTAAGTGAAGCATAAATCCAGCAGTTTTTTTTTCCCATTGTTTTTTAATTCTTTTCTAAATCGGTTACGGCGGTAATGCGTTTATACAAACAACCACCGGACTCCTTTTTTGAGTGAATTTGCCTCCTCGCCGCGGTCCCACGCAGGACGGGCTCGTCTGCTGAATAATCTGCCGTTTTTTAATCCTCCCTCCCGGTGAAGCGCTCAGACACGAAGTGGATCAGATGGAGAGCTGATTAATTAGAGTTCTCTAATTCCCAGTATACTGGTCGGCCGTGCAGCTAATACTTGTTTACAGCGTCCGTAACGGCGGCACTTGGAGACGCACCGACGGGGTCAAAGCCAGGACGGCGTCGTACTC